TTTTAATATTGATAATAATTTTTTTTGAATATTAATTGTAATCATACTTTAATTATTAAAAGTGTTCGTTTGTCTCTTTTATTACAAATCTTTGACCATCAATATCAGAAGATTCAGATAATTTGCCTTAATAGACGCTGAAAAAATTTGATTTTTTTGTCAAAAAATGTCGCAGTAGGTCCCATTTAGCTCACGTGCTTAGAAGGCATTCTGCATTTTAATTTGATAATTAACCGAAATTCTAAAAAATATAACTTTTTTCTTTTGAAGCCACTTGAACAACACAGTGAATGAATGCGAAAATAAATTTGTGGAAACTTTGAAAGTTTTCCGTTTTTCTATTGCAGATCGCAATGGGAAACGATTTTTTTGGCGTATGCATTCCGCTAGCCAAAGCCTTTTGCATAATGCCCGATCTCGCCCCATCAACTAGCAGGAAATCATTGCTCGATAAAATATACGCTTTCCTCATATATTTCCTGGTACTATTTTGCCACATTACCGAACTGTTTAAGCTTTACCAGATTGTAACTGCAGAGTATTTCATACTTGATGAATTCATCAGAAATTACACGGTGACTTCTTTTCATTTTACTACTATTTTTAAAATTGTTTTCATCAAAGGTACGAGTTAGCTGGCTTGAAATTTTCGCCATTTTCAACTAACATTGTTTAGGTGAAATTAGTAAAAGGGCGTTTAGAGAAATAATGGAATTTGAAGACGCCATTTACAAATCTTTGAACGACGACATTCATCAACTGTATAAAGCCTGCATAATTCCGGTCCAAAATTCTAGAAAGTACTATTTGGCTGGATTTGTGCTGGTCGTAGCTTTTTATCTTGCAGCTCCACTATTTAGAGGTAAGATATCTAAAGTTTTAAATCACATACTGAAACAGCGGTTAATATAAAATCGGTTAACCGGTAGTCACCAATTTAAGCATATTCAATCTTATTCGTGTGCCTTCATTTCACAAGCTACCTTCGAGAGAAAAATCTGAAAGGGTGAAATCAGGGCACCTTCGCGGCCACTCAAGTACACCTCTTGGATCAAGCCATTTTCCTGCATACTGTCGATCTAGCCAATATCTCATTGCTAAAGGATCATGAAGAGGTGCCCATCTTGTGTAGATTAATCTCAGTTTGATCTAATTAACGTCCCAATGGTCAGAAAGGAAGTGGATGAATTACATTTGTTAAATATTTAAATATAATTCTCTTGCTGAATTTTATTTTATGATCTTTTGGTTCTATCATTTTATTTACAAAAAAAGTTAAATCTTGCAAGAACATTATTTTTTTCAAACAAACTCCAACAAAGTTTTGGGCTTTGCAGTCTTTTTATTGCTAATTCAGCCTTCAGTTTCGTGCAAATTTAAGACTAATGCAGGGATATATTTGTGTCTAGTGATCATTAGAAACTAGCAGTTCTACGAACGAAATGATTTCCAGCTCCAAACAAACAAAATCAAGCCCCCTTGAATTTGTTTGTTTATTTAGATTCGTACTATTCCCGCAATCATATTCGCATATCCACTAATAGATTCAATAGCCAGCACATCCATTCTGGAACGATCGTGAAAATTAGCGAATATATTTAACGAGTTAAACATATTTGTAGTTTGTTTGAGTTTAAATACACACCTTGATTGTTTACGGTGATTAATGATTTTTATATTCTGTAAAGTTGAACCAACTTCTTCAAGCAATAACAAAAAAAGTCAATTCAAAACATTTTTTCAAAAAAATTAATTGGACTTAGAAAGTAGATTTTACTCCTTGATCTGTTTTGAATACCATCAATATTATGTAATATAAAACAATTTTAGATCCGATTCAAATTCAAAAAGACAACGAATCGATTCGAATTCGTCAAGTGCCATTATCTTCTTGGTCTCCGGTAGAAGAACACTACTGGTATGCTTTCGTTTGGACTGGATTAACTGGTTCATATTTGACCATTTTTTTTGTTACGACTGACCTCATATGTTTCAGGTACTTGCTAGTAATAAATAATGCATTTTCAATCAATGATTGATTCGTTGACATTTTAATTTTAATTATTAATAAAGTTTAGGCTGACTTTTACTTTAGTTAGGTGATTATGAATTCATTTCAAACAAGCTTTGTCAATGAAATTTTCGTATAATAATAAAATATTTAACGCAGTTAAGTTTAAATAGTTTTCAAACAAATTTAATATTACATTGTTAATTTTCTAACCTAAATCACCCTGTAAATACAAATATTCAGTGTTTTTTTTTCAGTTTTATAGCTTTCGGCACCTGTCGGATCGAAATTCTTCGGCATTATATACGCAATTTTAATCAATATTGCAGAAATATAATGCTGACCCACGGATATTCTAGGGAGGATTCGGCCAGAATTTTACAAAAAAAAATTATAATTTATCATCAAGACATCATCAGGTAAGCTACAAAGTGATTCAAAGTTGGCGTCCACTATAATCTACCCTTCAGAAGAAAGCTTATGTCGGAATATATAACTTCTGTTTTTCAGTTATGTAAAAATGATAAACGGTAGTTTAAAGAACTTAATGCTGCTGGATTTTCTACCTGGTTCGCTACAACTTGCCGGCCTGATTTTCCAGCTAATGGTAAAAACTCATATTATATCTTTTGTATACTGGTTTATGATATATTTCCACTTTTATTGTTCACAAAGTGATTCAATGTGGAATAATGTTGCTTGCACGAAATGAGTCAAAGTAAAGTGAAAGTTAAGATAATTTAGTGATCAACGGTAAGAAGTAGCGTGCGAGTAAATACATTGGCGCATATTTAGTGATTGTTAATGGGATTTTCTTAGAACTCTGTAGATAAACTGGACAAACATGTTTCATCGCTGACGACATGAAAGGGGTTTCCGACCCAACTGATAAAGTTTTTGAGAGCTCTTTTGATTGCTTCGAATGACCTCGTTAAGCACAGGCATATTCTAAAAAGCACTTTTACAAATCTTTCAAGAATTATTGTCACCTGAATCATTTACAATCTTCATGGGCAATTTACCAAAATACTAGCAACATAAATGAACTAGAAATACAAACTGATTGTTAACTTTCTTGGTGTTCTATAGAAAAACCTAAACTATATCCAATGCATTCTTCTGGGGGAATTCATCTGTAGCTTAATTGCCAGAGTCTTCATCTATGCTCACAACGCCCACAACTTAAGTCAGATCAGTCAGCAACTTGCAGATGATTGGTTCGAAATCGATTGGAATGATCTACCCAAAGGCGTGAAGACGAATTTACATATTTGCATTATGCGCTCACAGAAAAGCCTTTGTATTACTGTTGGAGACTTAGATGTCATTACGATGAAGACTTTCCTAGTTGTAAGTTACTAAATTCAGACGAAGATTTGAAAATGCACGAAACTGTTTCGTAGATTCTGAAAGGAACTTATTCCTACCTGACGCTTTTGATGACTATCTAAATGTTGGGTCTGGAATGGACGATGAAATTAAGCACGCATGACGAACAAAAAAAACAAGAGCACAAAGGCTGAACACTTTCAAATACTTTCAGAGTAGTTAGAGAAGTCAATAAATAAGCACTTTCATTGCATGCCGGTTTTCTTCAATTTTAAAGTATATAATAGGAACAGAGCGCCTTTGATTTCACCCATATTTTGAATTTAATCAAATATAACGTTTAGAAGCACAAGCAGCAGTGTTTTCAATTTAAAATATTTTCTTCTTTTGCGGAAGAAGCTTGAGGTGATTTTTTGAGTTAATATTGTTAATTATTTGACTTGGATGAATATGAAATATAAAATAGCGCAGTGCGACTCATAGCGCGAACTCTGGAACACAATCTAGAGTTGTTTATTTATCTACACGATTACTGATGCATTCTGCTTTTTCCTTTTATTGATTTGTTGAGATGTTTGTTATTGCAATCTCGTAGATGTCGCCCAACATTCGAGTTCGGTTAATTTACATTTTTGTATTAAATCTTGCAAGTTGTTAGTTTTTCGAAGTATTTTTTTATTTACTTATGTGATTTATCAGTTGATTTTTGTTCAATACTTTTATTTGAATAATTTAATCATAATTGTGGTAGCACTGTTTTTTTTTTTTATTCTAATGACAAAGTACTACAAACATTTATATAATGCTCGTTTTACTTGTGATTTTTCGGATTTTCTATATGAAATTCCGTAATTTCAATGCGTGTTCACTAAGTTTTCAAGTCTAAAATCAATTATTAGCAACTCGTCCAAAACTATTTATAAATTCACAGTTTTGTGTTTTCAATTGTTAGTCACTTTTCAAATATTTAGCAATTTCTTTCGGGCCTTTAGAACCCAGAATTTCTTTGGTTTAGCAAAAACTATATTTATATTTTCCTAATCAACCATTAAGTTAATATTAAATAACGAGATTTAAAATTTAGATTTTTTGAAGTAAAAATATGGAATTTATTTAAATATTTTTCCAATTTGCATGTAATGTATTACTACGCTTGACTGTTACTGTTTTTCATTTTTAATGAAAATATGAACCATGCGTTATACCGTCTGTAGGTATCTTCCGGTTTTTCTTCTGATCGCTGTGAGTTTTGCATTTGTTTTTAAGGAATTTAATTTACCTTAAAGTTTACGACCAAGTTTTCTAGTTTTGTCTTGTAATCTCATGGTATTATTTTAGAGCAAAAACAGATTTACACTAAATTTTCGGACTTGGAAAATTCGACAATTTTTTCTTCTGTCTTCCTTTGACTTTCCACATGTTTCTTCATTGTGGTTTGTTGTCCTCTTGTTCCGCCAGTGTACTATAATCACACATTTACATGTTTTTGTCTGTAGTTATCGTTCATAATACTTTACTTGTATGCTGTCTTACGGCGTTAATTCATCTGATCAAAAGTGCTATTTGAATTATTTCTTGCATTTCTCTCAATAGCATCTTTTGCGCGTTGAAAACTAATATTTTTACCTCCTCAGGCATCAATTGCATTTTTTCTAACGCTATTTCTGTGCCAGTTTTCCATTTTTTTGTTCCTCACTTATTTCAATTTGAGTGCTTCTTTATTGTTCTAATTAAACGGATTAATCTTAATTGTTCTGTTTTGTCATCCCTTGAATGTTTTAAGACATAATTATAATATGATATAAACAATTTATGAAGCTCGCTGATTGCGGTTTTGAATAAAACGGACCAAACTGCAGAAATACATTTTGTAAATGCAACAATTATTATCAATAATTATCAATTTTAGTAGACTCATTTAAAAATATTATCCATTATATTTTCTGTTTGTTTGTTGTTATTTACATATAAGCAAATAATTTTTTTAAATCTAATTTTCTATCTCTTCGCTACAAATTAGAAGAGCAAGTTCTTCATAAAAAAATCATATAATTTTTGAAAAAGTTAGTAATTAAAAATTAAAGTATTTTGAAGAATATATTTTTTAATCGTACATGATGTCAATAAAGTACAAAAAAATGTAAATTAATTTTATTGATTTAATATCGTAACACGAAGCTAGATTACGTTAACTTGGTTTAACCGGCGCTACTGGACAATACTTTACTTCCATCCTTGGCCCTGACTAAATACATGTATCATCGCCATTTTTAAAATCAGATAAATTGAATATTTCAATAACAATCAAGTTAAATAGATGTTTATCGTCACAAACACCGCTCAAAATGTTTAATATTTCATTATTTTTCAGCAAATTGCCCCCATATACCATGTTTCTAATTGCAAAGTATTTCGCATAGAAAGGGTTTTTAAATTATAGTTTAGGTGTATAATACTGAAATATTTAAATATAGCCACTTTCCTTTCTCCTTTCCTTCTTCAGACAGTCGTTTTCCATATCCAGATAGATTACTGCCAACCAATCACAGCCTTTGTTGAACAATTATCAGGGCTGGATTTAATTTTTCTTTCTCTATGTAATTTAATTCTTATGCCTCTTAGAAGTTAACTCAGTGAATGAGTTGTTTCAGCAAAACATTCATATACGTTACAGACCAGAATAATTCCTTAGTGTTCAGTTGCAAGTTTGCAAGGCTAAACATGTATGTACATTTTTTGTATTTTTGCTTTTGGCAAAATAAGCCGTGTTATTTGAATAAATTATATTGATTCTTTCGTTCAGACACAATTAATTGAAGAATCTGCAAATAAAATACACCAAAAAACCACATCTTTTCAAGATAAATCTTGCCTGAGGAGCGCATTTTTATGATTTTCACTGGAAACTTTTTGGTTTAGGTGAACATTATCCTGGTCCGTCTTCAAGATTTGTTTTGCTTGGAAGTGGAAATTTAAAGGCGATAAGCTCCATCATTTCACAAAATTCTTACATTAATTGGGTGGCTAAAAACCATCATTATTTTTCCTGTGACATTTTTTTACAGCCAGTAATGAAGAACGACTTTTTCGGTTTCTGTATTCCTCTCGCCAAATACATTTACATATTGCCCGATATTACTCCCCAAGACCGCACGAAGCCACTGCTCCATAAAATATGTGCTGTTATCATATACGTTTTGGCATTGTTTTGTTACTTTTCCGAAGTTGTTAAACTTTACCAAATCGTGACTGGGGAGTATTTCGTATATGACGAGTTAATCAGAAATTACACGGTCAGTTATTTTCATTTTACATCTCTTATCAAAGCGATCAATATAAAAGGTAAGAAATTGCTGGTAATGTTGCCATGTTAACTGAAACCGTCTTTTGCCTTCTTGGATTAGGTGCAATTAGTGCTAGAGCATTTAAAACAATCATCGGATTTGAAGACAATATTTACAATGGTGAAGATGAGGATATTCGGAAAGTGTATAAAGCTAGCGTAACTCCCATACAAAGAGTGAGGAAGTACTACATGGCTGGTATGGTGATGGTGGTAATATGTTATGCTTGTGCTCCCGCATTCAGGGGTAAGATTTTAAAGAACAAAAATTTCTCAAAAACAAACTCTGAATTTGTAAAATCTACCATCAGGGCACCTTTGAACTGAGCTTATGCCTAAGTCTTCAATTTCAAATCTGAATGTTTCTGATCCATAAATATAATTTTGCCAATATCTTTATTTAAAAATACAATATGAGTAACACACAATATTTTTTTCATTTCAATACAATTTCTCAATTTAAGGTATTTTTTATTTCTATTGTCTAGACTTGAGTACATTTTCCTATCTTGATTCTCTGAACTAGCAATTTTGCTAGTTATTTCAGTTGATGAGTAATTTTTTTAAATATAAAACTGCTTTTTTGATGGTGAATAAATGTAGAAAATCATAAAATTTTTATGTTACTGATTTTTCAATAAATTGGAAATTTTTTTTCTTGTCTTCTTTTACGCGTTGACTGGAAAATTCAGATTTTTATTGTTCTCTTCTTTTTTTTAATTCTGACTATATCTCTGGTGTCATCTTAGAAAATTTATTGAATTGAAGAATCAAAATACTGAAATAATTAAAAATTTGATTTGTCAATCTGTATATAATTTTCTTTGTTCCTTCCTATAACATTTCAGATTCTAGACTAGTCGTTATTATTGATTACTTTAAATCAAGTATTGCTCACAAAGTGAATCAAAACAATATTGAAACTACTCTATAGAATCAGATTAAACGTAAAGACTTTACAGCGATTTTTGGGCCTTGCTAAAGTGACTAAAATAAATAATTTAATGAAATCAATGCATTTTGGTCCGGTAGTAATTGCATACAACAACTTAAAAAGTGATGTTTTTTTGATAAATAGACTCGGATTTTAAAAAGTTTCTTTAATTTAACAAAAAACGATAGGGATAACAAAAATGAGTTATTTTACTCGTAGATCCTATTGAAATACAAAGAGAAAATGAAACAATTCGGATTCGTCAACTACCCGTATCTGCTTGGTCTCCTGTAGAGGAATATTTTTGGTTGGATTTCGTGTGGAAATCATTAGTTGGCGCATATTTGGCCTATTTTTTCGTTACAACCGACCTCATTCTTTACAGGTACAGCTTGTAACAGTTCGGACGTTTTTTACAGTCATTCGGTTTATCAATTTTCAGTTTTATTGCCTTTGGCGCCTGCCAGGTGAGAATTCTTCAGCACTATATTCACAACTTTAACCGATATTGTGAAGAAATCATGCACACTGAAGGAGTTCCTAAGAATGAATCTGCAAGACTTTTGCAAAAGCAGTTGATTGCGATGCATCAGGATGTTATTAGGTTATCATTAAACTAATACTTAGTTCAATATTATTACTGACTTCATATTTTAGTTATGTGAACATGATTAATGGCAGTATAAAGCAACTCATGATGCTTGAGTTTATTCCAGGGTCTGTACAACTGGCCGGTATGCTTTATCAGTTGATGGTAAATAGCTTTTACTAGTTGTGATTATTTTGAAACCTTGAGATGAGGATTTAAACATTAAATCTATTAATCTTTTGAGAAAAAGTCTCAAAAGCTGTATCATTTAAGGTTTAACCATAACAACCTTTCATTATGGTTAAAGACAGACGATGCAAAGAGTTATTCATACACCGAAAAAATATAGTTTGTATATGCCTGAAGATGTCAATTGATCCCTAAAATAATACGAAATAAATAATAAGAAAACTTCTGTAAGATTCAGATTTTAAATAAATTACAGATTATATTACATTTATTAAATAAATTAAATAATTCCTGATTTTTATTTTTTCGAATGGTTCTTCTCTTTAGAGTAGGTACCATAATTTGAGGTTCGCCTCTATAAATCGCCATTTTAGAAAATTATTCTGACTAGGCAACTAATTAATTAAAAGCAGCGAAAAGTTGTCCGTTTATTTCAAAAGCCGAAAGCAAAAGCTATTAAGCGACTCAAACCAATAATTTAATGCTTGTTTCTATAGGCGCTATTCTAAACAAAAAACCTTCAAGGCGCAAAAAACTTTGTTATTTAAATTGATTTGGTCAAAAATAAGTGATTGTAGAAGAAATGAATGCATGTTTAAGGGAAGAAAACTTGAAAAACTATGTTACTATAAGATTGGGCAAAATGACAATGAAAAATAGTACCTAATTTTTTTTTAGCAGACTCTATAGCCAAATAATTTGGAACTTCCTGGATATTGCTATAAATTTGACTTTATAATATATTTTTGTAGAAATACAAGAAATAAGGAACTATTTTTCAATATTCAAAAAAATTGTCTTCTTGCTAATGTTTTGTTCGCTAATGCTGATTTCAGTCTCGAATATTTTTTTATAAGTTTGGGTGACTAAATTGAAAACTGTTCACTTTGCATTAACTAAATAAAACTCAATAGATATTGGTGAAAAAAATCGACAATACTAATTTAAAATGATCAACTTTTCGATGTTTATAAAAGGAAAATATTTTTAAAATTCTCTCTGTATATGAATCAAACTTACCGATGTATGACTAAGAGGAATAAACTTTTTAAAACGGAGATTTATGAAATCACTATTAATATTTAAGAATGAAGTCTGGATCTTGATTTACAACTTCTTGGAATGTTTAAAATGCGAGTTTATTATATTCAATTTTTTTATTTCTTGATTTTTCTTATCTCTTGATCTTTCTATTTTATTTTTGTACAAAAAGTGGTAGTTTTAGAAAAAGTTCTTGACGATTCGAGCACAGAGGCCTAAAACTGAACTACATTTTTCCAAGTCCCACTTTAGAGGCATGATTTATGAAAACCCTAGCAGTTAAAGCACTTTAACAACAATCTGAAGAAACTAATCCCAATTAAACATTTTTCTCCCAATTTCAGACAAATTTAAATGCAATCCAATGCATCTTTCTCGGGCAATTTATCAGCTGCTTGATCGCTAGAATCTTCATCTACACCAACAGCGCTAACGATCTGAGTCAGCTCAGTCAGCAATTGGCTGCGGATTGGTTTGAAATCGATTGGATTGAACTACCCAAAGACATCAAAATGAACTTGAATATCTGTATTTTACGCTGCCAAAAGAATCTTTGCATTACTGTGGGAGATTTGAACGCGATTGATATGACTACTTTCTTAACAGTAACTTTGACCAGGTGAATATGAAAACAACGTTGTTTTATGTAAGTCTTCTTGCAGATATTGAAGGGTTCGTATTCTTTTCTCACGCTTCTAACCACGATCTAAACTGTGGCTAATGGAAAATTGGACACTCAAGCAGTAAATTGGCCGATTTCCTCAAAATATACGCAAAATATAGGTATTAGAGTTTGCTTTTGTATAGAATGCAATAAATCTTGGTTATGTCATTTAGTCGAGTTAGTGTTTCGGTTAATGGTGGACCGGTAAGAGTGCAGACGGTTTGAGCCGTCAATATTTCCAAAAAAATCAGGATTTTTCCCATTTTTGTGCCGGAAATTGATGGATAGCCGAAATATAAAGTTTTTCGTCACCGCTTTGTGGTGCTTTGGCAATCGGTAATGCGATTTTTGCAAAAACATCGGTTTTTTTCAGTTTGCAATCTTACTGACGTTTACTGTCAAAAGCTGAAACAGTGATCTTGACATGCCCTCAAACAGAAAATGCCATTATTGAAGTATGCATTTGGAGTTTCAATTGAGTTTTACAGTACGGAAGTTCGGCGGTTTAGTGACTTTTATAATGCAGAAATAAGCAGCTTAAGGGTAAGTGTATTTTATTTTTATTTTAGCCTTTAACAGAATTATAAAACTTTATTTAACGAAACCGTTTTTAAAAAGCTTTATTTAATTTTAACAGCGAATAAGCTTACTACTTAATTCCACAAGGTGGTTACAAAGAATGAATGAATTATGTATAACAACCAAATGAAGTAAACGCAACTGCTGACACGTCAAATGCTGATGCCTGGTGTCTTCTTGGTATTCTGCTGATGCCTGGTGTCTTCTCGGTACTCTGGTTGCAGAGTCAGTTGTTATGGCTATGTAACTACAGCTTGGAACTTTATACAGAATATGGCAAAAAAGGTACAAAAGTTGAGTGAAAAAAGAGTTGCAATTTTTTAAATCTCACAATTGTCTGGTTGTGATCGAAAGGTTTTTTTCSTATAGCGTTTGTCTTCTGCTCCGGTTATTAACGATAGTGTGACTGTGTTACTAATCCAGTTATCCAAAGAAGTACATAAGACAGTTACATTTAGAMCAGGTTTCACTCGAAAGCGACTATTTTGGGTGRCGAACAGTCAACCCAGRAAGTTTTATTGTATTAACACAATTGAATTAGGCGGTTTAACAATTTTAGCATCTGATAGCAAGACTATCTATAAAACACAGCCCGATTGATGTTGCAGAAATAAATTCGCGAATTGTTGGCAGTTAAAATGCATGACGACGTATTATTCGATCCAATTTCCAGCTAATAATACAACACATTAAAACAAATTTACATTTTTTAACAACAGAATTCAGAATCTTTTGCAAATTACGTTTACCTGAATATCATTTTTAGTCATAGATTGTTTTTTACATAGATTGAATTTTACATTCGCTTCTGATACTTTTTATGGCTGTAAAGGAAGTCGTTATTATTCGCATTTTTGCAGMAGAACATAAAAAATGTTTTTTTATAACGGTGTTTTAAGTGTTGAAAATATGTAGATATCTTTCAGGAATATTAAATTTCAAATTTTGCTTTTCCCTTGTCGTTTATTGGTTGGTTTCAAACATCAATAATAAAAATCAACATTTATATACTTTCCCATATTTCGACATAAGTACTTACTTAAGGATTCACATTTTCCTACTATTTAATTATACTTTTTATTTATTAAACAAGTTTCCCATGTACTTTACCCTGACTGAGAATCAGTTTTACTCGTAAAAATGCACATTTAAACGTGTGATATTTAAATATTACGAGTAAATACTACTTATATTTTGAGTTATCTGTGCTAAAAAATAAACAAATTTGAGCAGTTCTTGCTTGTCTCTTAACAAAGTATTTTTATGTTTAAGCTCGCTAAGGTAAATGTCTCAGTCAGCCATGGCCAGATTATACGATAGTTTACTAAACAAAAAGTATTTTTGAAATAATTATAGGAAATAATGCACTTTATTTTTATGAAGCTGAACCTTTCCGAGGCTTCAAGCCTCAGTTTTTCTCGAATCATGAAATGAATGAAAATATAGTTTTGACTCAAAATGTTTAAAGTTTTTACAACATTTTAAATATAGCAACTTTGAAAATTGTAAGTTAATTCCGTAAAAAACAAGAGATTTGAATGCGACATCGAAATTTACAAAACATGGTTAGCAGAAGAATCATCTCAAATTCGTGGAAAACAAATCTGTTAATGGTCATATTTCATAATTGCTTATTTTTTCCGATAAATATGAATGTTTTCCTACTGGGATTTTCTATAAAGAAGTTCCTATCGCTACGTACCTATATATTTTTCTCTTCTCCTATCGACATTCATTTAGAGCAGCATCATAAATAAAGGAACTAAAAATGGGGTGTTTTTGCAAAATTGTATGTGTAAGAAATTATATGTATGCAGATACTGCAAATTTTTCAATTTTGTCATGTATCTAGTCGAAAATGCATGCCGTTTCTAGAGGAATACATTGTAGTATATAAAAACCCTGCTGAAAAATAAATTGTAAATACATTAACACTCAAATCTATGATTTAAAATAGGACCTTTTTCATAAAAATAAGAGATCAAACAAGGCTTTTGACATACAGAGTGTAAAATTTTAATACTAAAACAGTTATTCCGGCAATTTTATAAAATGTAAAAAAAACAAAAACAAATGTGCCGTTAGTTAAAATAGTTCGGAACATATTCATCGCATTGTCCATTTGCAGCCCCGTATTCAGATAAGAAGATGTAAGTTTGACTTGTCGACAATGATTCAGTCGAAACTCGAATGCCTCTTCAATAATCCAAATAACTGTTATCAACTTGGAATGCATAAAAATCTCAAAAACTTTTTGGCAAACATACAAAAACATATATTTAAAAATCATGATTAACCAAAAAGACAATAATTTACAAATACTGCAATTCAGCAAAAAACTGCCAACTCAGTCTCGCTTCCACTCCTTGCTCAATTTTTCCTGTTGCCTCTCCATCCACTCTCTTTTCGGTCTCGAGCGCTTTAGTTGACCATCCCTATAAACCAAAACAAGCCGTTTATCTCCAGAAACTCATCAGCAACAAAACTTACCAGACAAGGTCTACCAGGCCACCCTGCTGAGCGATTAATTGCTTGACTCTGTTTGCGTATTCAACTGAAGTTTCCCCTTGCTCTTGGTGGACTGGTGGTAAATACCAAACATCACAGACAATCGCCCAGCTAGTCATCATCATAAATAGATATTCGCCCATGGAATATTTGCTGCTGTTCCAGAAAGCATCGCCAAACCTACAGGGAATTATTCATCTATCATTAAGTGAATTTAACGTACTGAGATTTCTACCTGGGATCATATTTAATGGCAACTGGGTAAATTGGACATCCAACTTCGAAGCTGCCCTTCTTAAACTGCATGACCGAGGTGTTGTTGATGCAGGTGCCTTCAGGAAAGATTAACATTGGCGGATTTTTTGGGTTGGAAGTGTGCTCTTTCAGCCTGCATTTACAACCGAAAAAATCACTTAAACAAAAGCCACTAAACCAGTAAACTTGCCTTTGTGAAACCAATCCTCTATCTTTTGCTTCAGAGCGTTCGAACCAAATATGAGGAGATGCTCTATTTAAGGCTCTTTGAACTGTTCCCAATATTCCTCCATGCCTTTGGCCGATCTGCAAATGAAATGAAATTAGATTTAAAAATTAACGGTGAGCGACTGCAACATACCAATGAATAACAGTTGTCATTTGATAAAATAATACAGTCTATGGGGCTGGTATGATTCGCAACGCAAATAGACCCTTTCTGCGGCCTCCATTGCTTATTATGTACGGTAATCACTGCTGATAATGACCGTGTTAATATTCGGAAGGCTATCAGATAACAGCGGTGATTGAGCCATCTTTTAAATGAAGAATCCGGGAGTTTTCCTATTAAAGGCGTGGTCAAACTCAGCCAAATTATCTGAAAGAATTAAGGAATTAAAATGTCTTATTGGTGAGCTTGAATCATGGACTTACACCGAAGCAAAATATGTACAACCTCAGTGGCAGCAGAATCAAATATCTAACAAAGAATCCAAAGATCCAAAGAAAAGTGAGTTTCCAAGAGATGAACTCGTATGTTTGGTTGGTTCTAGTGAGGAAGTTCCAGTTCTTTAGCTCTTCTGCTTCGAATCGCGAGGTCACTTGATCTTCAATGATCGATTCGATTCCACTCTTCGTATAATCCAAGCTTCGCAGCCAATGTTTCAAATCGAAATCGATTTTTTCGGATGAATTCTAAATTTCAGCATCAATTAACAAAAATCACTGCAAAACAATAGAGTTTTACCACTTTTTCTTCGTCATTTTCTAAACTGGTTTTTTGTTGAGATGGTGATAATTCTGGTAGTAAAATAAGTTCTTTTTCTCGGCTGTAAAATAAAAACAATTCTACCTAGAAATACAGAAAACGTTCCACATTTTTCACGTTTCTCAGTTTTCTCATGTTTTTTTTTTACTTTTAGGCATTTAAAAAAAAATTACCGACCGGTTTACTCAAAAGGAAAATTTACGTACTTATTTACTAATAACACTTTAGCACCACTATTTTAAATTTCTTGATGCAGTTGGACTAAATATTTAATTAACCAAAAGTTTTCAAAAAATGCTATTAGATTAATCCGAGTTTTACTTAATTAGGAAAATAATAATACTATCGTCAAAACAATTTCGATGTAAAATAGTGTTCAGCTCATTAGATAGACGGGTCCAAACATTTTTTTATATCAAAGGAGCAATGAAAATTGAATTAAATTTGCTGTAAAATCCGCAATATCTGAAACTGCATACATATGTATACAATTCTTATCCTTATTGGCCTCAGTAATCACAAATTAGCGACTAAACGATACAGCAACTAGTTGGAAAAAATCATTAAATTAGCAGAAAATATCAAATTTAGCACATTGAAAACCGTAAGTTTAAATGGTTCAAAACAATAGTTTTTTATTTTTATTTTAATTTAGAGCGCATAATCTTCAGAAATTTTATAGAAAAAAGCAAACACTTACATAGTTTATCAATTTATTATCTCACCTTATCAAACAATTTCGATCAGCTACAGCCGTCCTGAGAATAATAGCTTCACCTTTGGACGGTCGTCCTTCCCCAAATCCTTCATCTTCAGATTCATCTTCTATTATTCTGTTGTGTTTTTGTCTATTTGCATGCTCGATATTTCTTCTTCCAAACTAGCAGATTCAACAGAGATAAGCAGTGTTAAGTCCGAAAATATTTAACTACCCTGAACTTGCTAACCGATTGGAAACAGGAGATCAAGGCCTTTGAATAACATTATTTTTATTTATTTGGGTTTGGTTGGTTTGCTCTCAGGAAATATTCAAGTCAAGTTAAAATAATGAATGAAAATATGTGTACCTCAAAGACATATAAGAGGATCTTGATGTAGAGCTTCCTAACTCCCAGAGATTTTCCGATGGATGCCAAAAACACTATAAACAGTAGCAAGACATTCCATGGCACGAATAAAATATAAATCAAACTTCCCATAGCTAAAAGAATCATTTTGTTTAATTCACTGCACTTCCACTAAACACTACAACACCTTTACAGCGGAACATACATTTGTGGATATTCAAAACGTTTGTTATTTTTATCTTACGATAACCCTATTGACTTGATTATTTGCTGATTATAAATCATGTATTTATCTTGAAAAATACTTTCGAATTTTGAACTGCCACTCTGATTTTTATCGCTATCCATCAGTTGCACTAAGCAAAGGTCAGACTCGTTACCTTTTTGAGGTCGAATTGATAATGCAAAGTCGCCTTTATATGCATCAGTTTAAATAATGTAAAGTTAACTTGCAAGTTTGAAATGCTTATTTCACAATGCATAATTCGTTTGCCAATCTCCGTCTCAGATGCTTTTAATAATTATTGCGCACATGAGTTATAGGTACAGTAAGTACTTAAAAGTGGATAATTTATTTGTATCCGAAACAACTGTAGCTCACGTTGATTCACCATTCAGATGTCCGATAAGTTTCATCACAGAAATAACTAAAAACCGAAATTTGCCAGTAATCACAGCGTATTTACTGCCATTGTACGGTTCAATTCACGTTGCAACACAAAACTATATGTAGTTCAACAATAAATAAAAGCGATAAAATAGGAGAGCGCTAAATTTATGTCGAAGGTCAACTTTAACTACAATTTCCAGCAGAGTAAAATTCGCATCACGCGCTAATTTAATTAATGGAACTGGAACTCAAAAATGATTGAAAAGAACTAATTTTAATTAGTCAAAAATTATTTAAGTAGTAAATAAATAAAAATTCGTAAATAAGTTGAAAAGTTTTGCGAGCTTATA